CTGGGCAGCGCGGGTAGCCGAAGAGAGGTGACCGGAGATGCTGTGCTGCCTGTGGAGCCTGGGAGGGAGGGACCCCTGCTGAGCCCCTCCTGAGTCGTGCTTTTCTTCCCCCTGGAGCAGGCACCGGGGAGCCAATGGACACGTCCGACGCGGCGGCCACCGTGACCCAGGCAGAGCTGGGGCACCTGTCAGCTGAGGGCCAGGAGGGCCAGCCCACCACCATCCCCATTGTGCTGACCCAGCAGGAGCTGGCCGCCCTGGTGCAGCAGCAGCAGCAGCTGCAGGAGGCCCAGGCACAGCACCACCTGCCCACCGAGGCCCTGGCCCCCGCCGACAGCCTCAACGACCCCACCATCGAGAGCAACTGCCTCAACGAGCTGACCGCCGCCGTCCCCAGCACCGTGGCCCTGCTGCCCTCAACAGCCACTGAGAGTAAGCAGGGGCCTGGCCTTCGCCACTCAGAAGAGCTGGGTCTCAGCCTGTGCGCTGAGGGGGTGGGTGCTAGCTGGGGCGGCCACAGGTAGGGGGGGGCCGAGGGCACTGGGAGGTCTCGGGCCCCAGCAGTGCAGAGACGGGGGTGTGCTGTGGTCCAAGGCAGGGGCACCCCACACACCCAGAAGCCCAGGGGAGCTGGGGGGTGCTTTTGCTCTGACACCGTTTTTCTTCCCAGGTTTGGCCCCGTCTAACACGTTTGTGGCCCCCCAGCCGGTTGTGGTAGCCAGCCCAGCGAAGCTGCAGGCAGCAGCCACCCTGACCGAAGTAGCCAACGGCATAGAGACCATTGGGGTGGTGAGTCGGGCGCGGCGGGCTGCGAGGCTGCCGCCTCCAGCCCCGAGGGGTGCTGGCCTCATCCTGTCTCTCTGTCGCTGTCTTCCAGAAGCCTGACCTACCACCCCCACCCAGCAAAGCCCCTGTGAAGAAGGAGAACCAGTGGTTCGACGTGGGTGTCATTAAGGGCACCAACGTAATGGTGACACACTATTTCCTGCCACCAGACGATGCTGTCCCTTCTGACGTAAGTGACCTGGGAGCTGGTGTCCTCAGAGGGCAGTGAGTGGGGAGTCCTGGGGCCTGGAGAGGCTTCGCAGGCCCCCAGGGTCATCTCCTGTCTTTGGGTGGAATCAGACAGAGCCTGGTGAACGCTGCTCTTCCTCAGCACCTGGCAGAAGTAGAAGGAAGGGATGTCTTGTCCTTCTGCGGTCACCACGGACCTGCACAAATCCCCGGGCTTGCCTTCTGGTCAGTGGGCCTCATGCCGCTTTTCTGTCTCTGTGTTCTCTCTGCCTTTTCCACCCTGTCCCCCAGGACGACTCGAGCACTGTCCCGGACTATAACCAGTTGAAGAAGCAAGAGCTGCAGCCAGGCACGGCCTATAAGTTCCGGGTGGCCGGGGTCAATGCCTGCGGCCGGGGGCCCTTCAGTGAGATCTCGGCCTTCAAGACGTGTCTGCCTGGCTTCCCGGGGGCCCCTTGTGCCATTAAGATCAGCAAAGTGAGTGTGGCCATGGGGTGGTAAGGTCGGTGGGGTCCGCGGTGAGGTGGCTCACCGTGGGCAGAAAGAGGCTGCCGTCCTGGCTCTGTCACCAGTCGCTGGGATGACCAAAGGCAAGTCCCCTGCCGTCTCCCCACCTCCCCTCCGTAGCGAGCGCTAGCGCTGAGCAGTCACTATGGTTAGCACTTGCCAGCCCTGAGCCGTCGGACACAGCTAGGGAGACTGGGACACTGAGAGGCAAAGCGACAGGTCACACGAGAGGGGGCAGAGCCGGTGGAGGAAGGTGGAGGCAGCCGTCTCTGCAGAGCTCTGAACACCGATGTGGAAACATCCGCGTTGTCTCAGGAGGAGGGGGGGCATTCCAGGTTGCAGCTTCCTTTGCTCTTCTGGGGTACACTCAGGTCACAGAGGCTGAAGAAAGCCCACCCTTGACCCCTCCGCTTCTAGAGTCCAGACGGTGCTCACCTCACGTGGGAGCCGCCCTCCGTGACCTCCGGCAAGATCATCGAGTACTCGGTGTACCTGGCCATCCAGAGCACGCAGGCTGGCGGCGAGCCCAAGAGCGCAGCCCCGGCCCAGCTGGCCTTCATGCGGGTCTATTGCGGGCCCAGCCCCTCCTGCCTGGTGCAGTCCTCCAGCCTCTCCAACGCCCACATCGACTACACCACGAAGCCCGCCATCATCTTCCGCATCGCCGCCCGCAACGAGAAGGGCTACGGCCCCGCCACGCAAGTCAGGTGGTTGCAAGGTGAGGCTCCTTGGGGAAGGCCCAGGGAGGCCAGGCCTGGCAAGAGGCTGTCTCCCCCACTTCCTGAATGTTCTGCCATCAGTCTGCCCCGCCCCTGCCCCCCCCCCCCAGTCACTCATCGTCTCCTTCAGCACACACCCAGGCCCTCCCGGGACACAGCTCCCAGCTGTACTTTGGAGCTTCACGGTCGGGGGGTGGGGGGGTGTATAGCCATGGGCAAGTCTAGCTGAGGGTCCCTCGCCTGGTCTGGGGGTGCAGGGCAGGGGTCCCTAGCTAAGCTTGGTTGTTTGGAGCACCAGCTTTGACCTGCCCGTTGTTCACCGGCCACCACGGGCCCATCTCTCCTTACAGAAACCAGTAAAGACAGCTCTGGCACCAAGCCGGCCAGCAAGCGGCCCATGTCCTCTCCGGAAATGTAAGTAGGAAGCCCCTTTCAGGAACCTTCTGAGGTTAGGAGGAAGGAGCAGTGGAGACAGTAGGGGCCAGGCTTCTTGCTGTGAGCCCACGCTCGGGACAGTGGTCCTGCAGGGCTGTTGATGCCTCCTTTCCCCTCACCCCAAGGAAATCCGCTCCAAAGAAATCGAAGGCAGACGGTCAGTGAGAGCAACGTGGCCAGCACCTGGATTCTGCTCCAGCCTCGCCTCCCCTCCCCTCTGCTTCAGGAACACCGCCTGCCAGGGGCTGCCCGCCCCACCCCCACCCCGTTGGCACTTCATTTGTTCATGTGCTCCTTCAGTCACGCGTTCATTCCCTCTCTGTCTCTCTCTCTCTCTGTTTTTGAAAGAAACCATCTCTTTAAAGAAAGCACATTTTACATTGCTGGTGGGAGAAAGCAGAAGGCAAGTTTGAAAGCAGTGAGCACGTGAGAGCAGTGCTTCTTCCTCCTTTCTTCTCTCTCGCTGCACCCCCCCACCGCCTTCCTGGGGGCCCCCTGAGGGGCAGGCGGCAGCCCCGGCCCCGCCTGTGTCTCCCACAGATCTGTGAGAGTGGGAATCGAAACAAAACCCAGCTCCCGCCCGCACAAAACCTGAAAACCTTCTGTTGTTCCTGGTCGTGGTCGGAGGTGGAGGGGCTGCCCGGGGCGCAAAGGCAGCACCCCGCCCCCGCCCTGCGGCCCGGCCTTCCGCCTCTGCGCCCCTCGGCCCGTCTGCTTTTACTTTCTGTTTTTACCTTTTCGTTCTCAACCGCTTAACATCCTTTAGGCTTTGTCAACCCTGTCTCCTCCGCGCGGGGACTCCACGGGAAGCTAGACATTGTCTCAGAGGCCTTTGTGCTCCCACCTCTTCTCTCCCTCCCCCTCTCCCGTGGAAAAAAAGAAGAGAGAAAAGAACAGGGGAAGAAGCCCAGGGCCAGGCTGCGCAGTGGTGGCGTCCTGGTGGCATGCAGGTGGCCGCGGGAGCCGGGCCTCGGCAGGCAGGGCGAGGGCGACATCAGCAACTGCTGCATCTGTTGTATTTGTTTCCTGGATGAAGTTGACGTTTTTATTGTAATTTTAGCCTTAGCGCGTGGGGTTTTGTCTTTTTTTTTTTTTTTTTTGGTTGTTGTTAGCTGTGTACAGAATGTGTATCTTTTATTTTTTCTCCTTGGCTAAGGGATCGCCTTGGCATTGATCTTTCTGGTGGGGGCTTCTCCCAGAGGAGGGGTGAGCTGTGAAGCTGAAGCTGGCCGGGGTGGGGTGAGCCCCCCATCTAGCGGGTCTAGCCCCAGGTTGGCTAGGCTGGAGTAAGTCAGGCTTCTTAGAAAAGACAAGCGGTGCAGCCTATCCCGGGCCAGAATGGAGGCCCCCCTAGCGTACCTGGCCTTGAGACCACCCTCTGAACAACCGCCCTGATGGCACACCCCCCCCCCCCCCCCCCCCCGGCAAAGCTGTAACCGGAAGGGGGGAGGTGAGTTGAGGGGAACCAGGAAGTGGAGGCAGCCAGGGTGGTGTCACCCTCGAGCGGGGGGGTGGGGCAGGGCGGGCCTCTCCGCAGCAGCAGCCCCCCAGCCCTCTAAGGGCCCAAGGGGAACTTGGGGTCTTGCTTGGAGTGCTAAATGAGCCAGCTGTCCGCCCCACCCCCAAGCTCTAGGCAAAGAGCAAAGCTCTCCTGCAGGTTACACAGGATTTAAACCGAAGCCACCATCTCTGCCCTGGAAGGCCCTCCCGCCACCGCCGTGGCTTCGGGGCCCAGTTCGTTGTATTATAGTACATCTCGCTGTGGGAAACGTCACTGTTTAGTCACCTCGGGGTCCAGGCGCCCGGTCCCATTGTTCCCTCCCCATCCCTCTGCCCGAGCGCCCCTTTGATTTCTCTTGTTTCTGAGAGCCGTACACCTGTTCATCTATTGTAGAGTACTCCCCGTGACTCAATATTACCATAGTGCGATGTCGTTTTGTGCTATTTTGAACAATTAAAAGACGTTTTTTGAAATAACCGGCTGCTGTCTCTCGCTGAGTCCCCGGGAGTCTCGCACGGGCTGTGGGGGAGGGGCGGGTGGCTGAGCCTGGCTCATGGCCTTCGGACAAAGCTGGGCTGGCACCAGGTTGTCCACAGGTCCCACAGTGGCTGCTATGTGGCACCCAGGCCGAGGGCCCCACTGGGCGGTAGCTGTGGCCTCCCTCTCTGTCCAGAGACCCCCTCCCCTCCCCGCCAGTGGATGGGAACTCAAGAGGGTTCTCTGGGCCCTTGGGCTTGGTTTCTCCCAGTGAGGGTCTTAGCCCTGCCCATCCATGCATCAGGCTGTGGGGGACATGCGGGTCCTTGGGGGAGGGATCTGCGTGGATTTTCACAGGAGGGAAGCAGCGGGGTTACCCCCGGTAGCCGAGTGGAATGCACGGGCCTCTGGCCCAGAGCCCCCGAGAAAGCCCCACCAGCCCCACCAGCCAGCCCTGTCACAGCCCTGCCACGGAACTGTCCACGTCCGGCTATCGGATGGTGCAGCTTGGACTGGGGGAACTGGTGAGTCCTCGGTGCTGACCAGCCAAGAGGACAGAGAACTGCGGACAAGGTAGTCAAGGACGAGGCCCAGGTTCAGCATGCGCAGCTCTGTGTGCTGGGTGGGCCACCGGGGAGCAGCACCACACCGCTGGGGTTCTCTGGGTCCCAGCGCTCCTGCTAGGGACAACAGGCACGGGGGCGCTCCCTCAGCATCCCCCTCCACCTCCCCCATACCCCTGCTGCCCACCCTTCCTCAGCCCAGTCCTCCTGCTACCAACAAAAGCCCCCTCCACCTCTCTACCCTGCCTCACGTGCGCACACATGCGTGTGCACACTCTCTAGACGGGAAGCGTGAGGTGCATTCAACCTCTCCCAGGCAGCCTAGGCTGACATGGTGTCCTGTCCTGTGTGTACAGTTGTCTGGGCCACCTGGTGTCCCCATCCGGCCCGTTTATCTCCTCGATACCAGGAGCTCTGGTTTCTGTTCCCCACAGCACCAACTCTGCCGCCCCAGAGCTCAGAGGAGAGTGGCCTCCTGGGGCCAGGGGCCAGGGAGATGGGTGGGGAAGTGTCCTTCAGATAGGAGCAGGACGAGCAAGGCCCAGAGGTGGGAGAACTCTGGCCACCGGGGCCCAGGGCCTGGGTAGCACTGGCCCCAGGTGGGGGAGGGGCCCTTGCGATGCCTCGCTTGTGTTAGGGGTACAGGGATTCCCTCTACCCCACGTCTTTGTCTGCTCTTAGACTCTGTCCCCGAGCACCAGCCAGACCACCCCACCCTCCACCTCCCCTCGCTCACCTGCCTCAAGGCGGCCTGCAACGCACTCTGGAAGGCCAGGGCCACACCGGTACCGTCTTTGGCACTTGTCTCAAAATACTGGGCTTGAGTCTGGGCACACCACTCCTCAGCCTCCTGGGCAGAGACCTGGAGGGGCAAGGCATGGCGCCCGTCCCAGCCGTGCTCATCCAGTGCTCTGCCACCAAACCCAGGGCCAGGCCACCCGTGAGAACCAGAGCCCTCCTCATACCCAACTCGGCCTTGGCTAGGCATGGAGAGCGGCAGCGTGTGCATGGGAGGGCAGGGGGCAGAGGCTGGGCGTCATGAGCAGGTGGACTCACCCCAGCACCGCGGGGCACAAGGCCTGAGCCCCCTAAGTAGGGACAGAGATTGAGGGCAAAGGTGCACCCAGAGCAGCCAGGAGTGGGCACTCACCTGCCGGCCAGGGAGGTCGGTCTTATTCCCAAGCAGAACAAAGGGAAACAGCTTGGGGTTGGGAGGCTCGGCCTGCCGAGCAGCCACGGCCTGAAAGGAGGCAGCTACGGTGACATCGAAAACTAGCACGCAGCAGTGTGAGCCCTGGTACAGTGCCATCCCCAGAGACTGGCACCTCTCTGCACCTGCCGTGTCCCAGAGCTGTGCTCATAGGGAGAAAAGGCCAGTTATGCTCCAGGGTACAGCTCATCCTTCGGGAGAAGGATGACCCAGGAGTCCCAGCTACCCCAGGCCACCCACAACTCCCCATCGATGTGATTCCGCCCCGTTGGCAGGGACACAGCTGGGGAAAGTGGGGGACAGTTCAGCCAGTCTTCCTCTGAGCCATCTGGTCGTGTCCAACGGTCAGAGTGGCGCAAGGCAGACGGGGCAGCTGAGAGGTGGCCTGAGCGCAGAGCAGGCCCGGGCCACCGTCCTTACTTGCACAGTGACCCTCTGGCCTTCCAGCTCCGTCACTTTGGTGAAGAAGTCTGCACCAATGGTGGCCCGGTACCGGCTGCAGAAGCGGTTGTGGACGAACCGATTCATCAGAGAGGACTTGCCGACCCTGTGGGGTCACGGGTCAGAGAGCAGGTGGGGGTCCCCGCCTGGGCCCTGGGGTCCTTATTTCCCCACTTCTCTCCGCCCTGTTGCTGCGCCCCGCCCCGCCCTGCCGGGCCCAGGCCCCCAGGCCCCCGGCCCCTCTCCGGGCCTCTCTAGGGCGGCCAAGGTGCTGGGCGGGAGGCCTGGCCCACCGCCCGCCTCGCCCCAGCCCGTCCTGCCAGCTCACCCGGCACTGCCCACCAGGAGGATCTTAAGCGGAGGGCGCCCAGCGGAGGCCATCTCCTGGCCCCGCGCAGCGAGTCCGCCCGAGGGTCCCAGCGGGGCTGGGGCGGGGCGAGAGGTGGGGCTGAGCAGGGTTAGGGCGGGGTGCAGGGCGGGGCCTGAGGCGCGGGGGTAGAGCCGGGGGCGGGGCTGAGCCAGAGGCGAGGCCGCGCGGTCACCAAGCCCCGCCCCTCTCCGCGGGCTCCGCCCCGCGCCCTGCGGAGCCCCCGGACAGAGTGGGTGGGTGGGGCGCGGCTCGGTCAGCTGAGTGGCAGTCACGGGACGGCGACCAGCTTCGTCTGGTTTCCTACAGAACAGGGAGGGATGAGCGGGGGTCTTCGAGTGCGACAGGCCAGTGGTGGGACTTGAGGGGGGGGTGCTATACCGGAGGGTCTCGGGGCTGGTGGGGGGAAGTCCTGGGACCGGTCGCGAGCCGGGGCGTCCCACCAGGAGGTGAGGGGGAAACCCGAGGGCTTGGTCCGGAGGCCCGGAGTTCTGGGAGAGACCGACTAGGCAGCCCTGGGACCTACCTGAGCCTGGGGTGACCCGGGGGCCGGAGGAGCCCGGTTGAGGAGGCTGGGACCTGGGGAGGCCTCGTGGGGGTGTAGTCTTTAGTCTCCGAGTTCCCCCAGGACATGGAGAAGGAGTGGGAGACTCTGAAGGCCTGGAAGGAGCGCGTGGGGCAGGAGCTGGACCGAGTAATGGCCTTCTGGATGGAGCACTCCCACGACCAGGAGCATGGGTGGGCCGCCCCCTTTTGGCACCCTCAGCAGGGTCTTTGCCCCTCCCAAGCCCCCACCCTCAGCTCCCAGCCCACCCTCAGGTCTCCCTCCAGCCGCTCTCACCTCCGGTCCTGCGGGCTGGACGCAGGGCTGTCGGGGGGCTGTGCGGGCCCCCCACCTAACGCTCATGTTGCGTGTGCGCGACAGGGGTTTCTTCACATGTCTGGGCCGTGATGGGCAGGTGTATGACGACCTCAAGTATGTCTGGCTGCAGGGGAGGCAGGTAGGGGCGCCCGCAACCCTGCAGCTCACTAGGGTGCATGGGCCACTTCTGTCCTGCCTAGGGTGAGGCCCCTGCTCGCCCTACTCCTCCTGCCCCGACGGCGATACTTAGGACGCCCCCACCCCCACCCTGAGGACCCCAGAGCTGCCACTGAAGCCATTTCCCTTCTGCCTCCACACAGGTGTGGATGTACTGTCGCCTGTACCGAAAGGTCGAGCGCTTCCGCCGACCTGAGCTCCTGGACTCAGCCAGAGCAGGTGCCCAGCCCCCATCTCCGGGATTCCTCAGGAAGGCAGCGTTCCTAGAGGGGTCTAGGGGGAGGGCCAGAGGGGGAGGCTTCCTCACCTAACTGCCAATACCAGGGGGAGACTTTTTGCTGCGCCATGCTCGGGTGACACCTCCTGGGAAGAAATGTGCCTTCGTGCTGACGCGGGACGGCCGCCCCGTCAAGGTGCAGCGCACGATCTTCAGCGAGTGTTTCTACACCATGGCCATGAACGAGCTGTGGAGGGTCACAGGGGATGCGCGCTACCAGGTACGGGGCTACTGAAGCCGCCGGCTGGGGCACCCCACCTTGGGAGTGACCGGGCTTCTAAGTCTTCACCTGTGCTGAAAATGGCTCCCTGGCACACTCCCGCTCAAGCTTCCCTGACCCCATCTGTGGGCCAGGCCTGTCGTTCTTCCTCCGCCTGCACCCTACCCCACGGCCCCGACTGTGCTGTACCCCCTTCCCTTCTGAATCCCCCTGCATACCCCCTGCCCCCACTTCAGCTGGGGGGCCTCTCCCTCCTCCCTGGGCCCCCGGGAGGCCCCAGACGGGAGGGGACAGGCCAGGAGGGGACAGGTGCCGCCTCAGCCCGGCCACCCTGGCCCGCCCCGCCCCCAGAGCGAAGCGGTGGAGATGATGGAGCAGCTCGTCCGCTGGGTGCGGGAGGACCCGTCGGGGCTGGGCCAGCCGCGGCTCTCGGGGGCCCCTGGCGCCGAGCCCATGGCAGTGCCCATGATGCTGCTGTGCCTGGTGGAGCAGCTCGGGGAGGCGGACGCGGAGCTGGCGGCCAGATACGCGGAGCTGGGGGACTGGTGTGCCAGCAGGATTCTGCAGCACGTCCAGGTGGGGTGGTGGGCGCTGGGGGTGGGGGGCAGGGTGACCCCTCACCCACTCGCAGGGGCGCCTTCTCCACTCTCCCCCCAGAGCTTGGCTCTGGTTGGTGGGAGGCCTGGCCGGGCCCAAGCCCCTGGGCAGGTGGCCGCAAAGGTAGAGCATCTGGGAGGGCCCAGCGGGCTGAGGGGCTGGAGGGAGGCTGCGGGAGCCCCGGGCCAGGTCCCCAGAGAAGAACCCTGGGCCCGATCCGAGTCCATCCTGAGCCTCTCCAGGCAGCCAAGCCCCTCCCTGTCCATCGGCTGCCCCCTCCGGAGGCCCAGGCCCTGCGGAGTGAAGCCGTGATCAGCCCCTCAAACGCCCCGCCCAAGAGCACAGTCCCTGAGGGAGGAGGGACTTGGGAGGTGGAGGTCTTCCTGGCTAGTGGCACAGGGCTGGAGGCCGAACAAGCTTCCTCACGCCGCTCTCACCTGCAGAGGGACGGGCAGGCTGTGCTCGAGAACGTGGCCGAGGATGGCAGGGAACTTGCTGGTTGTCTGGGGAGACACCAGAACCCAGGTGAGGGGGCCCAGTGGGCTGGGGGCTTTCCCCGGGAAGGGCGCTCTCAGCCTGGGCTTCTGGGGGCCCGCCTCGCCTCCCTCCACCGAGGACTGGCATCGGAAGCAGGAGGCTGAGTCTGGGGCCACCAGGAGGGCCTCTGGCCGGCTTTAGGGGGAGCTCTCTGCAGGGGCAGGTGCCCAGGACGCCCAGGGCAGGTGTTCACAGCAGCCCCCACTGTTAGGGAGGGAGGGAGGCTCCCCCGCCTCCTTGGGAAGTAGGGTTGCTGCCTTACTTCTACCCCTCACCAGGCCACGCCCTGGAAGCTGGCTGGTTCCTGCTCCATCATGCCATCCGGAAAGGCGACCTCGAGCTACGCGCCCACATTATCGACAAGTTCCTGTTGCTGCCCTTCCGATCAGGATGGGACCCTGACCATGGAGGCCTGTTCTATTTCCAGGATGTCGACGGTCTCTGCCCCACCCAGGTGGGAGAGTGACCCAGGGCCCGTGAAGAGCCCTGTTGTAAGCTGTCCACCTACTTGCTCACTTAGCCCCTGCCATGGCCCGGCAGTGGTTAAGAGCTGCAGCTGCTAATGGAAAGGTTGGCAGTTCGAATCCACCAGGCGCTCCTTGAAAACCCTGTGGGGCAGTTCCACTCTGTCCTATAGGGTCACTGTAAGTCGGAATCGACAGCAATGGGTTTTTCTTTCTTTTCTTCTTTTTTTTTAATGGCCCAGGGAAGTGGGTGCTTCTTCATCCCTGGGGTTCAGAGAGGCGGACTTGCCCAGAGTGACCTCGGGAATAAGTAGCAGGGGTGGACCAGAACCCCAAGCCAAGCTCCTGATCTGTGTGTTGGTGGGGTGCTCGCCTTCACGTGCAGGGGCCACCTAACGACCACACGCTGGGAGGCTGGGAGGCTAAAACGACAGAATGTGTTCGCCCACAGTTCTGGAGACCAGAAGTCCGAAATCAGGGTGTGGACAGGGCCACGTTCCCTCCGGAGGTTCTAGGGGAGGATGCTTCCTTGTCTCTTCCAGCCTCGGGGGGCTACCGGCAATCCTTGGCTCGTGGCCGCATCACTCCAATCCCCGCCTCTGTCTTCACGTGGCCTTCTCTGTGCATCTGTCTCTGTGTCTCTTCTCTTTGCAAAAGAACACCATTTGGATTGGATTAGGAGCCACCCTTCCCCAGTATGATTTCGTGTGTTAATTTAACTGATTACATCTGCAAAGACCCTATTTGCAAACAAGATCATGTCTGCAGGTTCCAGGGCTTAGTCCTGCAACATAGTTTTTTTGGGGGACACAATTCAACCCTCCACAGGGAGCCAAGGTGTCTTTGAAAGGCTCTCCAGTGGGGTCATCTGGCTGCACCTTGCTCCTGGCTGGAGCCCTGCAGCAGGTGACTGTCCCAGCCACGGTCAGGAGCCAAGTGTCCAAGGCGCTTCAAGACAGCACTTTGAGGGCTAAAGGGGAGCCTCCCCTGCTCTTTTGGAAGGGGCTGGTTGGGACACTATCCCCGCTCTGGAAGCTAGTCCCGAAAGACATCTTGCAATCAAGCGACAAGCCCCTGGGCTGAGGGGGACCTGGGCTCTAAGCCACCACCTCTGCTCTGCTCACAGCTGGAGTGGGCCATGAAGCTCTGGTGGCCTCACAGCGAAGCCATGATTGCTTTCCTCATGGGCTACAGCGAAAGCGGGGACCCTGCCTTGCTTCGCCTCTTCTGCCAGGTCGCGGAGTACACCTTCCGCCAGGTGAGCCGAGGAGGAGGAGGCCGAGCGGGGGGGGGGGGGGGGGGGGGGGGGGGGGGGGGAAGGGAGGGGTTCCCCGGAGCTTGCCCCCCCCCCCAGCTGCTCTGGGAGTGCCTGGAGGTCAAGGAATATTCTGGTGACCTCCTGGAGCTTACACTGAGCTGAGGGGAGGGGGAGCCAGTGCTGGGTGCTGAGAGCATGTGGAAGAGGAAGGCAGGCTGAGGGGCGAGGGGGCCAGGGAAGGCCTCGAGAGCGGGGCGTCTAGTCCGTGAGTGGAGCCGCGTGGGGAGGGGGCTGGGAGAAGAGTCGTGGACAGAGAGGACAGCAAGGGCAAGGCCCATGCAGGAGTGGGCCTGACACAGTAGGGGAACCCCACAGAGTGGTGGGAATAAAGGGGGGCGTCATGTGGTCTGACCGAGGCCTAGCCAATCCAGGGGCGGGCTGGGGGGGCAGTGAGTGTCCTGGGGCCGCTGGAACCGAGGACCACACCCTGGGTGCCTCAAGCGATAGACAGTTACTGTCTCACACTTCAGAGGCCAGAAGCCGGAAAGGAAGCTGTGGGCAGGGCCATGCTCTCTGAAAGCTCTAGGGGAGGATCCTTCCTGTCTCGCCCAGCTTCTGGGGGCTCCAGGTGTTTTCCCTGGCGTTCCTTGGCTTGTAGCACATCATCACTCCCATCACTGCCTCCTTCACACGTGTGAGGGCCCTCAGCACTGGATTGAGGGCTCACTCTAAATCCAGGAGGATCCCATCTCGAGATCCTTAACTAGTCACATCTGCAAAGAACAGCGTTCCAAATAAGGTCATCTGCTGAGGTCCTAGGCAGACACGACCTTTGGGGGACACTATTCAGCCCAGTACAGGAGGGAGGGCTGTAGGGGTGGCAGGTGGAGCTGGTTTGCTGGGGCACTGGATGGGAGGGGAGCCAAGGACTGCGGAGGAGAGACAGGGCAGGGGTGGGGGTGGCAGGAGGGCCCCAGCAGTCCATTGGGGATGTGCTGGGTGGGACATGTCCCTTGGGCACCCAAGTCAAGTGGAGGTGTCAAGCCGCAGCTGAATTTCTGAGTCTGTAGTTCAGGGGAGAGGTCTGGGCTGAGAGCCAGGAGGCAAGGTGAGCTTCTGGGCGCCAAAGAAGAGAAGAGCGAGTAGGGAGGGCCCACCTAAGGAGACAAGACTCGGCGGGGGGTGGGGGGGTGGGGGGGAGCCAGGCGAGGGGTTTTTCAGAGGCCAAAGGAGGCGCTACCAGGAATGAGGAGCGAGGGGGCGCCACGTGAGGCAAGGCAGGTGATGAAGGAAGATTCTGTTGTGTTTCTAAAGCCACGATTCAGGCTGTTGGTAAACTCTGGTAGGGCAGGGACTATGGCATAGGCTCCGAACCTTGGGAGACAATCACACCTTTATTTGCACTAACCTCTCACTGAATGGAGGCAGAATCTAAAAAGCAAACATTCGGACATACAAGGAAAAAATAACTACAACAATGGAACGAATAGATAGAACTGTCTTTATTTCCTACGAAGAATACATTTCCATAGGCACAGTTTTCAAAGCTCTTTTGATAATGGGTTTCAATGTGACTGGTTTCCTTTGTGAACTTTCTGAAAAGGGCCTAAGACAGGGCTCTGTAGTACATGCTGGTGAGTCTGCAAGGAACTGACAGATGCAAGAGGCCCAGTGGACAAGCCAGGTGCCAGATGGGTTGTGGGCTGGAGAGAAAGGAATGCGGGACGGATGGCCTGAGCTCCTGTCCCCCGGACTGGAGGCGGGCATCAGGGCAGGGGCAGGCTTCGGTCGCACAGAGGGAGGATGAGATGCTTTGGGGACCTAACGGGAGCAATGGCCAAAGCCAGGTATGGGTCAGCACTGGCTGTGGGCCAGGCTCACATGTTGATGTCCACACTGTCACCTAGTTTTAAGACAGACCAGGGAGAGCAACTTTTTACAAAGTTACATGGCAGGTGTCTCCAGCAGGGTTCTCTTTCTTTAACTTTACTGAAGTGGACAGAGGAGAACTGCCCCATAGAGTTTCCAAGGAGCGGCTGGTGGATTCCAACTGCCAACCTTTTAGTTAGCAGCAAACGCTTAACCACTGGCGTCATCGGGGCTCCTAGGTATCACTTAGACTAAAATGCACCCATCGTACGATTCCAGTACCAATGTGTACAATTCAGTGAGCTACGACAGTGAACACACCTGGGTAACCACCGCCGTAATCAAAATACAGAACGTTTCCTTCACCCCCCAAACAGGGTTCTTTTTACTCCATCTTGCCGAGTTTCTACTGACAGCAAGCCCCTCCCCAAGTCGGTTACACAGGTGGAGACTGCCTGTTGCCTCCCACCCCTGTAAGAAAAGTTAAAAGCCCCTCACTTTCAGCATTGTGCAGAGATGGCCTTAGGTTTAAGAGCACGGATTCTGGAGCCACACTACCTGGGCTCAACCGGGCTCTGACCCTCGGTAGCGGTCCAGGGGGGATGGGGAGGCGCCTTCCCAGGCCTGTGGCATCTGGGCGGTGCCTGCGGGCGCCGGCTGTCACTGTCTCCTTTTTCCAGTTCCGTGATCCCGAGTACGGGGAATGGTTTGGCTACCTGAACCGAGAGGGCAAGGTCGCCCTCACCATTAAGGGAGGTCCTTTTAAAGGTGAGTGGGAGGCGGATCAGGGGTGCTGGGTGCGGGGCCGCAGGGGCTGGCGTCCTCGGTCCCCCACCTCTCCCAACCCCGTCGGCCGACTCTCCCTGTAGGCTGCTTCCACGTGCCGCGGTGCCTGGCCATGTGCGAGGAGATGCTGGACGCCCTGCTGAGCCGCCTCGCCCCGGCCCCCCGGCCCCAGGCCCCGGCCGCGGTGCCTGCCCGCCCAGGCGCGGAATAAAGCTGAGCCTGCCCTACCTGTGCGTGCACGCGCGTCCGTGGGCCCGTGGGAGGGGTTGCGGCCCGGCGGTCACTAGCTCGCCTCGGCATTGGCCCGCCCCGCGCGCTGGTCCGCCCCTAGCCCCGAACCGCCCGCTCATTGGCCTACCCTGCGCCTTGGCCCGCCCCACGCGCTGGACCGCTCCACGCATTGCCTCGCTTCGCGCCCTGGACCGCCTTGCACCCTCGTCCGCCCCGAGCACTGGCCAGCCCCGCGCATTGGCCGAGCGGCCGGGAAGGCGGGTCCGGCGGCAGCGCACTTCCGGCCGG